CTGCGGGCAGCGCCTCGCGGCCGGAGCAGGCGGCGGCCGTGGAGCGATGTGACGCTTGGCGAGAGCCGCGAATCGGGGCGAAAGCTGGTGTGTGCGAACCCGGGCTAAGCGCCCTCCGCCCCGCCCCGCTCGTGACGGGATCCCCGGTGCGGGCCTCCGAGTCTTTGTGAGGACTTACGCGAGCCCCAGGCCCGAAGCGGGTGAGGCGCCGCTGCTCCTTCTCACCTTCTCACGTGCTGCTGCGGGCTGGGAGTGTGGAGCGTCGCTCTCTCTCTTTCTTTCTTCCTTGGGCTTCAAGAGCACTCGAGAGAGCTTGGGAATCAGGAAGGAAAGATCCTCGCTTGTCAGCCCACGGCAGCTGCTGAGCAGATGAGATTCGGTTCAGGCCAGTGACATTACAGGAGGAGCTGCTAGGCTTGCTTGATCAAAGCTAGAAGTCTCAGATGTGGGCATTGAATACAATCAGGCACTGGTCTTTGAGGGCAAGCGCTCTGCTGCTGAGATAGCCACTGTGGTGCTACTGATGGCGTGCACAGGTTTGCAGATGGTGAGGTTGTGAGTGACCCTGAACACAAAGGTTAGGGATGCAGATGAGCTTTTGGCTGTCTGAGTCATACTTATGGAATATTTTAAAATTACATGCTCTGAAACAGGAACATTTTTATATCACTTGGTGTGCCAGAATGACAAGAGTGGCAGAGCATCATTCCCTCCATTTTTCCATTATGAACTGGCTACAAAGAAGAAAGCTAGAATGTAAAATGACAGAAAAGGGGTTGTTATGAAAAGGCTTCCAGATATTTTTGAGGGTTTTTAACCATAACTAAAGCATGGTGCTGCTTCTAGGCAGTCTTGCAGAGCTGTCAGGCAAGCGAGTATGAGTCTGGCCAAGCTTCAGCACCAAAACAGTAGACCTGGCCATTATCTGTGGTGGTTAAGTGTGCTTTTGTTGTTTGCATGTTAAGACTGCTGCTTGTAGGGAATGACAAAGGAGAAGGGAAGGAGCTTAAAATTTCGTACCCTGTAAAAGAGAAAAAGACTAGAATGTGCTGCAAGGTGTGCCAGAATTATAGGTTAGGAGATTCCTAAAATTTTGCTCCGTAATCTTACCTAGTGACCAAATTTCAGGAACTAAGGGAGATTTCATGGAGTTAGTGATAATGTCGGGCCCTGCAGAGCTCAGGAAGGTTGAGCCCCTGTGTGTTGTGTCTGAATCTGATCATTGTTTCTGTCCACATGCAGCTCTAACAGCTCAACCACAGATTTCTTTGTCATCCCAGATGTCCCCGCAGAGTTGCTGTTCCCTGTGAATAGCTGTTAAATTTTGCCATTTGTGGGGTTTTGTGCTGCTGATGTAATTTAGTGCATGACAGTAAAAATCCCTTGTTTTGCTGTCTTAACATAAATAATATTATTCTGTCTTCAGCCACCAGAAACACAGAGCTATTCTGAAGAAAGAAAAGCGGAAAAAAAAGCGGCAGGCGCTTGCCAAGCTAAGAGACTCAGGTAACAGTGAAACTAGTAGTGATTCTTTTTTCTTATTTTTGTTTCTTAAAAGATATAAATTTGTGTGTCTTTGTTGACTAGAATCATCCAGTTATTTAGATGCATTGTTTTGTGTTTTTTTCTCAGAAGCTACAGAAAAAGATGAGTCTGTGTCTGAGGAGGAAGAAGAGGAACTGGAAGAAGAGGAGCAAGAAGAAGAAGAAAAAAAACTTGAGGCTGAAAGGTGAAGAATCTAGAAAATGGCATATGTGCATGGCATATAACTTTGTAGTCAATTCCATTTTGATTCTTTGAGAAGTTTCAATATATTTTGTGGAGTTGAGTCCTTTTTGTGTATTTTGGGCAGCACAGTTTTTGTCTGAAGCCTGATTGATTCCTGTGGAATTTACTCTTTTAAAGAAGATTAGATACACTGTAGGTACTGCTTAACTCATGAATCTGGACTGAATACATGACAATTGCATTGGCTGTGGGTAGGCATTAAATTTTGTTTAAATGATATCTGGTTTCCTTGGTAGACAAAAGCTACATGAGCAGTGGTTGCTGAGAGAAGAAAAGGCTCAAGAAGAGTTCAAGCTTAAGAAAGAAAAAGAAGAGGCTGCAAGAAAACGTCAAGAAGAAGAAGAGGTGACGTATAAACTGTTAGAGTTGTGTCTGGCAATAAGGTAGACTTAGTGTGACATCTTTTACTATTCTCTAGTGGACTCAGCTTTTCTGATGTTGGTATGTTTGAAAGTGTAAACTCTTTTTCCATCTGTTCTAGAAGAGCAAAATTAGAAAGGAGGGGGGAAAAAAAGACTCTTTTGAAAGCGTTTTTCTCGAAAGATACAGTTCTTATGACTGGATGAAAACTTGATGAATCCTGGAATACCAGTTTGGAAGGGACCTCAAGGATCACCTTGTCCACACTCCCTTGACAAAACCATGTTCTAGACAAGATGACCCAGCACCCTGACAAGTTGAATCTTAAAAGTGTCCAGTGCTGGGGAATCCACCACTTCCCTGGGGAGATTATTCCAATGGCTGATTGTTCTCATTGTGAAAAATTTTCCATGTGTCCAATTGGAATGTTCCCTAGAGTAACTTGTACCCACTACCTCTTGTCTTTTCCACATGACTCCTTGTAAAAAGGAGCCTTCATTTTCTCTGTACCCAATCTTTAAATACTGGTACATGGTGATAAGGTTTTCCCTGCACCTTCTTTTTTCAAGGCTGAACAAACCAAATTCTCTCAGCCTTTCCACATGGGGCAGCTTTCCAGTCCTTTGATCATTGTGGCCCTTCTTTCAACCCTCTCCAGCCTGTCCATGTCTTTTTTTTGTATAGCAGGGACCAAAAGTGAACCCAGTATTCCAGGAGTTGTAATACAACATGATATTTTTGAATTTGACTGATTTTTAAAGCATATGTTTCCTTAAATAACTTCAAAATTTTGTTTCTGTCATGAAGAGGAAGATCAAAGAAGAATGGGAAGAGCAGCAAAGGAAAGAGAGAGAAGTGGCACAGCAGAAGCAGCAGGAGAAGAAAGAGAGAGAGGTGATTCCTGGCAGTGGGAGGATAAACATGTTACATATCCTCTTACATTATCAAATGCAACAGTCTATGCTGTTGAATCATGTGTTAAAGAGGGCTTTTATTCTAATCAACAAACATAAATGTGTTAGCTACTTTTTCCCTCCATTCTGTCTAAATTCCCGAAACTATTATTCACTGCTAAAGAGGATCTGGTGAATCCGGATACCTACGATGGTAACTAGTTTTAATGCATCTCATTGTTAATAGTATGTAACTCTTTACATCAGTTAGATACAAAGGCACACTGTAAATGAGACACGTATCAGAACCTGCACGTTTTGCATCATGTGTTAAAGATAATCCTTACTTCATGTACCAGCTGAACACAGTCAATGTTGAAGAAAAAGCCCAATGAGGATATGGAATATGGAATTACATTGCTGCTGTTCCTTAACAGAGTTCTTAATCAAAAGATATATTGCAGCTCTTCTTTACCTGACTCATCCAACAGGACGTATCTTTTTTTCAGAGCTCTTTGGGTGGAGAAAAAAAAAATTATACTGAAGATACTAGTCGTTGATAATGTTTCTGTTAATGATGCTTTCTTCTGAAGTTTTAGAAGTTGAATGACCTGAATGTAAGATGTCCTGTACAGAAATCCAGCATGAGGCCTGGCCTATCGCCAGTAAAGGGTGATTGCAGTTTTCTAGGATCTGGTCATTTTAGCTCCTCCACAATCACAAAACATTCCAGTCACTTCACTGGGAGGTGCCTCACTGCTGTGACCGGTGGCCACAGCAGGAGACGACACACGAGCACACGGTGTTGTCTCCTGCATTTAGTAGCTGTTTGTGTCACTGATGATGAAACATTGCATGAGGAATGAAAAAGAACAGCAGTTGTTGTATTTCCTGTCTTCCTCTTGTGTTGTGTCCATTTCTCTCTTTGCAAAGTAGGGAGAGAAAATGATGGTTGTGTCCTTTATTTAAAATTCTTACACAGTTCCAAGAGAGTTGAGCCATGACAACAATGGGGTTTTGTTCCTTCCCTCTCCTTGTCCCTGGGTTTGCGCAAGCCCTCAGGGGGCTCATCTGGTTCTTCCTAAACCAGATGGAAGCCATTTTCTTTTTTGTTTGGTTGTTAGTTGTTGCTTTGATTGGTTTGGTTTGTTTGTTCTAACTTTTTGTCTGGGTTACTATTTTACTGGTTTAGTGAGTGAAATTGGCTCATAGAGGGCATTGGCAGGTAGCCAGAGGGAAACTGAGTACTCAGCTGGGAGTGGAGCCACCCATTTCAGCAGTGGAAAGCTGTTAATTGATTTGGCGTATCTCTTGGAACAGAAGTTTATTCAAATTCTGACAGTGATTTTAAAAAGCATTCTATTTTTTTTCCCTTCCTAAGACAAGGGAAATAGATTTTTTTTCTGGTTTGATGGGTTTTGGTTTGTTATTGATTGGTTGGTTTGGTTTTGTTGGTTTGGATTTCTTTAATAGGGTGGATAATAATCTAACATACTTGGGATTAGTACCAGATGCTGTCTGGGTCCTCATCTTAGATTCCATATTTTATTTTTATGTGCTCTTCCTCTTTTTAAATTTAATCAATTCTCTTCCAAATTAGAACAATGCTAGCAAATTTTCTTCTCCTGGTTATGTTTAAATGTCTTTTTTTCTTGCAACTTCATAGAATAAGTTTTTAGAACTAACTTCCAGGCAGTTTTGCCGAGTGACTTTATTTCTTTGGTCAGCCCACTTAGAAGAAGGTAGGGGAAGAATATCCGCATTGTTTTCCTATGTTTGGAAGGCTAGGTGCAGTGAACTTATGGTAGAAGTTTCTTAACAGTTAAATGTTTTACTTTCACAGAGGCTCACTAAGCAATGTGTTTTCCTGTGTTACCTAGAACATTCTAAGTTAAAAAGTTTAGCGCACCTTAATGATTATGAACCTAACTGTAACCAGACTGAGTACTAGAGCAGGGAGTATATTTAAGTATTCAATAGTTCAATGATATTTTTTAAAAGAAGAAAATGAAACTTTTTAAGTTGTTTGACATTTAGATTAGAAACTCATCTACCTGAGGGTATTGCCTGATGTATCCTTTAACAGCTTTGTAGTACATGAATTGCTCCAGAACAAAACCCCATCAAACTTTTTATTGTGTGTAATCATTGAGTATTGTAAATTAGGTTCTTAACTAAAGAAACCAGATGTTTTGCGTGTCCTCAGGGTTTTCACTAGTCCTGTGTTTGCACCATTTATAGGCAGCTGTGCAGAGGATGCTGGACCAAGCTGAAAGCCAGGTATGCCCAGAGACTTTTTGAAAAAGAACTGAAAAGTAATTTCATTGCCATCAGATGTTTGCTTTCTAGCCCGCTCTCCATCTGCTCTCAAGAACCTAATGGCCTGAATAGATTTAATATGTAATGGCTCGCATGAGCTGTAAATAATTATTTACTGGGTGGAACAAAATTAAGCATATTTCTGGCTGATTGGTGGCAGTGCAGTTGTGCATGCTTATTCCTGTTCAGGAGATCTGAGTCAAAGTGAATCTGGAAATACTGCTGTGTGCTGTTGAAGACACACTCTGTGTGATGGTTTATTTGCAAACTGGAATTCCAAATAAATCTGTCAGTCCTTCTGGGTGGCAAGACAAACTTGTCTTTTTAAGCAGATGGCAGGCTCTAAATAAAACGATTCATCAGTAGAGGAGGGCACAGATCCTTCAGGAAAAAAAAATGTGGGAGAGGGAGAAGCTGAGTGCTCAGGTGCATGGAAGA